TACACAGAGCAAGTGAAAATGACCCCTATTGACTGGATCCAGCTGTGTGTCACGCTCTGTGAGTCTCTCCCAATTCACTCTTTCAAGTAAATGAATGTGGTAAAAAAAGGATAGAAAGTCAACGGAATCTTTTTTTTTTCCTTCTTCTTGCTTTCTATGCTGCGGGACCTTCTCAGTCATAGCCCTTGTTTTCAGAGCTGAAAAATATGTTTATTTGCTCATTAATTTCCTTCTCTCTCCCTTGCCTTTTCTTGGCATTAGGCAGAATGTTATTTAAAACAAGACACAGTTCAGCTTCAAAAAGAAAAAATCATTCTGCAAAATACAGCTTGGACTCATTTACTGGTCATTTATCATCGCTCAGGGAGTGGGGTACAAATATCTATATTTGGTATATTTTAATGATTTACAGTGCGGTTACTCTTATTGGCACCAGTATATAGGGAAGCAGCAGGCTCCTTAGGACTTTGAGAATTGTCCCAGACTGTTTTGAAGTGACATGGAGAATATTAAATGTGGCACATGCAGAGCAGCTTGATAATCATTTATCTTCACTGCTTTCCTTCAAATATGATGGCAGCTGACGTTTAGAGGGTAAACTCAACCCAGAGGCCTGAGGCTTTTTGAGGGAGACTCTCATCCTTCATTTCCATAGGTCAGAGTGTATTTTTTCTCACCAGTGCTTTCAAAAAAGCTTTGTTTTTATGTATCTTCCTTTTGCTTTGCTTCAGACAGTGGGCAGGTAATAGTGTGCCTAGTGAGGTGCCTGGCACATAGTCAAGACCCAGTAAATATTTGTCGGGTGAATAAATAGTTAAATGGAATGTTATTAGCATTGCTAGTGTTATTGTCTTGGCATAGAACATGCAAGAACAGACTTGAGGCAATCAAGTAATTTCCCTTAACAGTACAAGCTAATTATTTGAGAGATGAAGATCTGGTGCATAGTATTTATTTGTCAGGCTCCATTTGCTCCTAATTAAAGGGGGAAAAGTTGTTTGTAGCATTGAAAAGACAACACGATGATGCCCCACTCCCAAAGAGCTTTTTCATTTTCCATGCCTCATTTTAGGGAAAATATATCAAGAGGAAGTTAGTGTGCATTCATTCCTCTTATTTATTATTTGTGTTTTCTTTTTTTTTTTTTTCTCTGTTATTGTTTTCTAGAGGGCAGGCTGGGTGTGGAGCCCGAGATCTTTTGATAGTGCTTTTATAGCCCATCTGCCCACAGGCCTCCTGCAGTTGATTGTCCTAACCTGGCTGACCAATAAAATCATGTCCCCATACAAATACCACTTGCAGCCACCCAGGACAAAAAAAATGCTGCACCCCTCATCATGAGCCTCAGAAGGTTTCATTCATTCCTTCACATTTCCACTCATCCATTCCTTCCCAAGATATTAATTCCATGTCTAATATGTACCAGGCTCTGTGCTAAAGCTGGGAAATTAACACTGAGCAAAATCCAACCTGGTTCCTGTTCTCCTGAAACTTATGATCTGGGATGATTGATGGATATTAATAGAATAATCATACTAAACCATATAACTAAACACAAAGGCAAGCTTTTTTTTTTTTGGTGGTGGTGAGGATTGAAGCCAGGGCCTCATGCATGCTACACAAACACTCTACCAGTGAGCCACATCCCCAGCCCTACAAACTAAATTTTTTTTTTTAAAAGGAATATAATTCTACTGGGACCATACACTATCAGGAACTGTTTTACACTGATTGATTTACACATGGAAGCTTTGATCCTCATCCCCTGAACAATACAAAGACATTTCTAACTCCCCAAGGTATAGAAAGTGGAGGAGGGAGAAGGGAGGTGCAGACCTTAGCCCTCCTTATCTGTATTTTGAAATGGGGGTGGGGGTGTCAGTTCCTTGCAATGCACAAAAGAGGTGAAGACGCTGAGTCCTGCGTAGCTCTGTGCTGCAGGTGAGCTTTCTGGAAATTCTCTCTATCCATCCTCCCTCCACCAAGCTCCAGAGTGTGCGTGCCTGGGGCTCCAGTTGTCTGCTAACAGACACACATGGCTACCGCTGGACCTCACAGCATGACCTCTCATCTTGACACCTTTTCTGACCCCTTCTCATCGTTTTCTGCCTTTCCTTTTGATGATGGAGAGGTGGCTTAACACAATTTATTCCTGTTTCTGGAAAAGGGTGAATAGCATGCCTTCCCACACCTTCTTTCTGGTACAGAGAACAGGCTTCTGAAGTAAAGCACCTCCCTCCTTCCCAGCAGCTGAGTTCGGGAATGTGGCCCTGCCTCTCCCCTCTCTTTTTAGCTTTGCAGGGGCTTAGGGATTTAATATTTATAAAATATGGAATAAGGTCCGGCACATATTGAGTGCTCAATTAATGGTAGTCATTACTGTCAGCTCTATTCACTGATATAGAAAGATGTTAAAGATATAGTGATAAAGTGACAAAAAGCAGATTACAAGGTTACCTAATAGAAAAAGGGTTTGCATGAACATATCCTTCTAAATGCCAAGCAAATTTCTGAAGGTACATGTATTGTGCTAGAAATCTACCACTTCAGAAGAATACAAATGCAAAAGTTACATGTAAGGAATGAGACAGGGGCTTAGGAGAAGAAGGCTAGGCAGTAGTTGATTTTCTTTCTTTTACTATGCAATTATATACTTTAATAGTAATGAAATTATAAAAACATAGTTTAGAAAGTTCAACAATACTATCTACTAAATCAATTTTAAAAAGAAATCATGGTTTCAACATAATTTTTTTCATGCTTTTTTTTCACCCTTAAATTGGGAAATATCATTAAGAAACTTTCTCAGGTTAAAGAAACATAGAGCAATTCAACGGCATTCATTTGCTGTGCTGTTGTCAGAGAGTTTTTAAATTTTATCATGATTCCCCTGTTGTAAAATGATCCTACTTGTTTGTCCATCTCTACCTATGCATATAGAATTGTCTGGAATGTTATTCACCCACCATTATAAACAACACATTTGGCTCCTGTGGGGCTGATGTCATTGCACTCTAAAGCATTGCTTAAATTTTTTATAATGAGCATTTTTATAAAAACAGTGAAATCATCTCTAAACCTTGAAAGGAGGAGCATAGTTGACTTTCCTTTTTAGTGGTCAACACAATGCCAGTGTCTGTCTTTCCCAGGCATTCAGGAAGCAAGCTTCCTCAGGATCATCTTTATGCACGTGGGTATTACCATGCAGTCCCATGAACACCTTTTCATGAGAGGAGGCAGGTGGATTGGGTGGCTAGTGGATCAGGATGTAGGAAATGTTTTCAACAACTATCTGCATCACTGACTATGCCATCCTTCCCTCCTTAAAAAAAAAAACCTAATGGAGTGTTTTTTTTTTTATGTCTAAAGATTTTGATTAATTGAATTAGTATTTTCTAATAGTTTGTTGGTTGAGAATCATGAATGTTGTACAGAACTGGATAAGGTGACTTTGATCATCATTTAAATGCAACTCTCTCTTCTTTCACTGATTACACACCACTGCCATCAGGCAGATAAGAGTCCAAATCTGGAGAGAACTTGAACCCCTAGTAAATACTTGATGAAGCCACCGTGCGCTTGCCAGTTAGACTCTCATCTCTGGATAGGATACATTTCCAAGGAGTAACTGTCTTCCACAGTACTTTGCTCATTGTGCCCCTTGGGATGAGGATGATAACTGCCTACATAGAAGAAAAACAATTTTGAAGAAGCTGGGATATATTGATAACCCACTGGTTCTTTGGAAGGGGCTTAGCAAATTATAACCGACCATCTGATTTTGTACAACTAAGAGCTAAGAATGGTTTTGACATTTTAAATTATTAAGGAGGCAAAAACAAAAGTAGAGTAACATTTTATGATGTGAAAATTATATGAAATTCAAACTTCCTGTCCCTAAATATTGGTGTTTGGGAAAATAAACACCATGCTAATTCATTTACATAATGTCTATGGCTGCACAAGGAGTTGTAACAAAGACTGTCAGGTCCATGATGTTGAAAAGATGTACTGTATGGCTCTTTATAGAAAAAGTTGGCTCACTCCTGCTTTAAGTTCAAGTAGAAGTTTTTTGTGTGCTGTTTGCTGGTTAAAGAGTTAAAGAGCAATGCTTTTGTGCTAGAAATATACCATTGCAGAAGAGTACAAATGCAATACTTGAGATCATTCTACTTTCCTCACTCCCTTGTCAAAGTTGGAAGAAAATAGCTAGGTGCAGGGGCACATGCTTACAATTCCAGCAGCTGAAGCAGGAGGATCACGAGTTCAAAGCCAGCCTCAGCAAAAGTGAGGTGCTAAGCAAATCAGTGAGACCCTGTGTCTAAATAAAATACAAAATAGGGCTGGGGATGTGGCTCAGTGGTCCAGTACCTGTGAGTTCAATCCCTGGTATCCACCCCCCAAAAAAAATTAGTTGGAAGAAAGTAACCATGTGAGAAAAGTTAGATTATCAGAAGGGACCATGAGAGGACTTGGTAACAACTGAAGAGGACTTGCATACTGCCTCCAAAGCTTATGGATCACTACTGCTAACTTGAACTCTAACAACAGCAGTCTTCCTGCATTTGAAAATTTGAAACATTTCTTCCATGCATCTGAGAAATCTTTTGAGAGGTAGAATCTTTAATTCTTCTGATCCTTACAAAATATAGCAACTTATCAGATGGGAGCCCTCTGTTCAGTGGCGTTATCATATTAAATGGTTCTGTTTGGTTTGCACTTGCATTTGACTATCAATAGAATATGGTGAATGATTACAGAGTAGGAAATAACGTTTAGTGGAATACCTGAATCTTTAACAGCTATGGCTGACATTACTCCTCCTACCTCCCACAATATATGAGTATGTGTTAATACTGAAGCTATCCTGCTACGAGTAGCAATGTTGACAATAGTACTGTAAAACATTATCAAACTGAACCCATGAGTCAATTTGCTTCAAAATTCCCATTGTGTCCACTAGTGAGCTCATTGTCCTTACTTGTTTTGTTCTGTTGCAGAGGCTGAAGGCTGCATTGACTCACCACCCTGCTGCCATGTCCAACGGGAATATGAACACCATGGGACACATGATGGAAATGATGGGCTCCCGGCAGGACCAGACGCCACACCACCACATGCACTCGCACCCACATCAGCACCAGACGCTGCCAGCCCACCACCCCTACCCACACCAGCACCAACACCCAGCACACCACGCTCACCCTCAGCCCCATCACCAGCAGAACCACCCACACCACCACTCGCACTCCCACCTTCACGCACACCCAGCACATCACCAGACCTCTCCGCACCCGCCCCTGCACACCGGCAACCAAGCACAGGTAGACCCTCTCCATGACCAATTTCCTCTTCTAGTTCTTCTTGATAAGGGTGCAAGCTCTAATCGTGTGTGTGGGGGGTGGGGGTGGGGGACCCTGCAGCAGCCTTGCTTGACAGGCCTGGGTGTTCCATAGGACCTTCTGGGGAGCTGTGTTCATTTCCTGAGGCAGCAGTTACCCATAAGGCACTATCAGATCATAATTTCTCTGAATATTATAGTAAATTTCAAGCCCATTTTGTTGGGAGGGAGGACTATAAACTTGAAGTTCTCCGAAATGTATTTTGCAGCATATTTCAAAGCTGCTCCTAAAAACAGTAAGATAATGGGAGGATTAAGAGGAATTTAAGCTAATGATGAAAGATGAGTAAAAAATGAGAAAAATGAAGTTAATTCTAACCCTGGTCTATCTGTTATAGTTTAAAACATCCTAGGGACTCAAATTTGTCACCTGTGAAATGGAAGTTAAATACAAAGGGCAATATTCCTGAGTGGCAGTAAATGTTAAAATCTAAAGAGTAACAATTCATGCAGACAAAGAAGCTCCGTAATGGATGCTAGGGCGTAAGGTACTGTGTAAATGCTGAGGAGAGGTGACTCATCCCACCAAATGTGAAATGCGTTGGAGGAAGCAGAGAGTGAGCGAGCCAAGCTCATAGATGATCAGACCAAGAGAAAGGCCAAATCCCAAGGGTGGAGAGTCACCAGGAGTGGCTAAAAAGAAAGCCAGCATTTAGACTAAACTGAAAGAGAGTTGGGGGACCAGGCAGACATTATGTCACCCAGACCAAGGAGAGAGGCGAGTCCCTATACAGGAGGGGGTTTTAGTAAGCAGATGGAGGACACATCCAAGAACATGGCTGGCCCCAGACACTTTGGATCCTCCAGTAGGATGAGCTTCGTCAGTCCCCTCCACCCATCCTACACTGCCAGGTCCCAACCAGCTGTGTCAGAACCGTGTCGGACGCTTGGGACCGCCAGTAGCGCTTATTCACTGTCTCCTCCATCTTCCTTCTCTAAAGACAAGAGCTTTAGAGTGGCAGAATGGTTCTCTTTCCAATTTTCTTGTTGTGTGACTGTGGACAAAGAATAATGAACCTCCCTAAATCTCGGTTTTTACAAAGTGGGGTAATCATAGACTACATTCAAAGGCTCTTGTGAGTATTAAATCTCTGTAGAAGTTTTCAAAATGTGTTAGCAATGATAAATTCCAAACCAAAACAATTCAGAAGAAGTTGAGCAATAAAATACTACCTGGACCTTTTTAGTCACATTTTTAGTAAAATGTTGCAGTGGGGCATGAATTTAAAAGAGAGAAAGGAAACTCTCAGATCAAAGCTAGGCAAATCGAGTCTCATATGTACTGAATTTTTAAGGAAAGGAAAAACATCAAGGTTTGGTTGCCTTCTTGGGAAAGTTATTCACCAGCAAGTTTAATAGCTCCTTATATATAAAAGTCATTCATTAGCTAAGTACCAATTAGCCAATTGCCCTCTGTTTCAAGTCATTAAGTGGCCAATTGTATATGCAATTAGTTAATTGCTATTATAATTAGCTGTACCAACAGTTTCTTTTTTATCCCATACTTAAAAAAAAAGAAAAAAGCATCCTGGTTTGGTCTTGCTAAAATTTGAATAAGATAATTTAGACTGTATTCTACAATACCAGTCTTCAAATTTTATCAACTTGGATGATCACAGAGATCTTGTCATATTGCTTAATAGTATAATTATCTGTACAGTAGGGATAGACATTTGTAAAAGTCCTTCTATCTCTGAGACTATGAGATGACTTGGAATAAATCCTGCTTTTTCAAAAAAATCACAATTCATTATTTGATCCAAACTGGCAGAGTATCATTGCCAAGAAAATTCTACTTTAATATAAAATGATAAGTCTTAATAATTACCAGGAATACAATTTCTGATTGTAGGGTTGCATTTGCAATTTTTCTAATAATTATGCAAAAATAATCATATTGTAGGTCCAAGTGTCACTTCATGGACATCAGGAATTTCTTTTAACCAACACCCCACCTCCCTTAAACCCAGAACCTGCACTGCACCTAAAACCACCCCCATCTGGCTTACCCCATTTGGGCAAAGGCACAGGAAAAGCATGACCAGTTGCAGGTTGATTGAAATAGGGGAGGACCTGGTATTGAGAGAGAGGTCCCTGCAATAGAGATGGAAAACCAGTTTTGCCTAGTCTTGCCTGAGACTGGCAATAAGAGATCGCTAATTATTCACAAAAGAAACAATCAAGGCAAAAACCGTCACAGAGCACTTTCTCTCCTACTGCTTGGCTTGTCAGGAGTGAGCTCAGGAGTTAGCCTCTGAAATGACCAGTGCTACATCTTTGCCAATAACAAGGATTATGTCATCATCAGCAACTCTGATGAGTAAGACCTTAGACAATTTATTTTGCTATTCCTCTGTGATCAGGAGGAAAGGCGTCGCCAATAAAGAATTTTAGAAAATGTCTTTGCTTTAGATAAAATTACTGAGATGCAGTCCGACCTCACTCCTGAGCCTGATTCTTTTACAGTTAGTCATTGAAGGTTTGATAGAGGTTAGGATTGAAATCTATCACCATCAGTCAGCTGATGTCAACCCGTAGCCATCATTAGTACAATTACAGTCATCCTGATTGATGTCAATCAGAGGGTTGGAATGTGGTCGAAAAGGTTGTTTGACTTCATTTTTAAAACTCTTTGCCTGTTATTTCTGCAGGTTAAATGTCTCTTGTAAAACAACTTTATAGGTATTACAGCCATAAACCTGAGTGACTGAGAAATAGGAGAGGTGGGGGGAAAGCACCCTTTATTGAGAATGAAGAAGGAGGAAGGAGCAAAGTGAATTAGGGAAAGCATTAAGTGTCCAGACATATAAAGAATCAGCTGTAGAAATTTCATAAGGTGCTGCACGTCTGCCTTATGGAGGGAAATAAAGCTACATGTATGGGGGTCTCCAAAGCCTTAGATGTCACTGAGTCCCATACAGACCTTACAAGAAGTCTATAAGCATAGTAAAACTTTTTAATAAAGTGTTCTGCCACTCCCAGGACTTCCTTATGACGCAGGTATGTGGTCATGTCTGCTGTCCCTCTGTGTCCTACACATGCAGCGGAATCAGGGCAGCTTCAGCATCAAAGGCCAGGCCTCCCAATCACCTGGAAGGCTCTCAGACTTCTCCTCCACCTTGCTCAGAACTCTGAGGATCAGCAGACCCATCTAGAGTCTGCAGGTCCAGCTAGTCCTGGGCATGAAGAACTGTGAAATAGTGAAACTAGGATTCCAGCCATCTTCCTGCTTCACGGGGTTCTTTCCATAAGAGTCACAGTGGTGACAAAGTCCCAGAATTTGTCTAGGGAGGCGGTTGTAACACCCCTTGAATGAAAAGAACCTGCCAGAGGTTTTCTGCAGATAACAGTCGTCAGTGACGTGGCAACCTGGACCCCTCTGTTTTCACCCTATAGCCATCCATTGGCTACTTGAAAGTTCTTTGGAAAGTACCATAAATAAAAACATTTCTTACACCTGAAGGAAGAAAAAAAAATGTTTCATCTATCATGATTTGGCCAAATGCCTGTCAGGGAAAAATCCACCCAACAACATCTTTTCATAAGTCATTCCTGTCTCTGGGTAAAACATCAGATTAAAGCTCAGTGATGCTTTTTCTTTTCTTTGGTGGGTGTGATTTCATTGTTTATCTCATTCATAGAAAACAAGTTCGATGTGCTTACTAAAGCAACTGGCTTCCTTTGCTCTGCATTATAAAGTAAGCTCCGGTTTCTTCTCTTGTCCCTCCTGGTTACCATGGCCTCCTCCCTCTCTGTGCCCACAGGTTTCACCAGCCTCGCAACAGATGCAGCCAACCCAGACCATACAGCCGCCCCAGCCCACAGGGGGACGCCGGCGAAGGGTGGTGGATGAAGATCCCGACGAAAGGCGGCGGAAATTTCTGGAACGGAACAGGGCCGCTGCCACCCGCTGCAGACAGAAGAGGAAGGTCTGGGTGATGTCACTGGAAAAGAAAGCAGAAGAACTCACCCAGACAAACATGCAGCTTCAGGTGCAAGGCCACTGTCTCTTTCCCCAGTTCTCCAAGGCCCTGTGCACAGTTGGTATTTCCTGCCTCCCAGGCTCCTGTTGACTTACAGAGTCCTACCACACACTTCGCCCTCATAGGAGGCTCAAGCCTACTCATCCAGCTTTATTAATTCTGAGACAAACAAAATAGTCCATTCAGTTTTCAGTCACTCTACCTACAAAGCTCTGAAAAGGGAGGACTCACCCAGCTAAGTCGTAGGGCTGAGAGCTCAGGCTTTGATCAGACAGTGGTTCAAACCCTGGCTCAGCAGTGTTGCTGAGTTTAACCTCCCTGACTCAGTTTCCTCATGTATAAAATGAGAATGGTGCCTTTAGAGAGTGTTTAGAAGAAATAAATGAACTAATGTCTATGGAGCAGTTGACACAGTACCAGTTGACCCAGAATAAGTCTTGAACTGAATGGTAGCTGTTCAACTTTGCCAGGTTGAAAGGATCCCTTTGGCTTATGCCCTATGACCTATATTTTTTGTTGAGTGGAAGAAAGGAAGGTTTATGGTTGTTATTTGGCTCTGAAAGAAAAGGCAAATTTCCATCTTGTTTTCAAACTCAGTAAGATTTGAATCATGCATGAATTTTGCTTTTCATGAATGGCTTAACTGGGACATTTTATAATAAGGCCACTTCTGGAGTGTTTGGAAAGAAGCCGAGGAAACTCTAATACCCAGGGCATAGAGCACACATAGTGCACTTCAGGGCCTTTGTTCTGGCATCAAAAGAAGAGCAGTGCTCACCTGCAAAAACAATTGACATGTGACAAATAGAGATAGCAGTAAGAGTGAGATTATAACCTCCAGGAACTGAGAGGATGGCCAATAAGCAGAAATGGGTGAGGTGCCCAAGGTAGGGAGGCCAAAGTAGGGAGGCTATGCACCTTAAAAGTTCATAGATCACCTTCATTCCCCACCCCACCCAACATCTGGTCCTTTGTGCATTCTTAGGAAGAAGCAGTTCATGTGCCAAATCCCCAAAACTTTTGCTTTTCTTTTTTGGTTCTGGGGGTTGAACCCAGGGCAGCTTAACTACTGAGCCACATCCCCAGCTAAGTTGCTTAGGGCCTCACTATGTTGCTGAGGCTGGCTCTGAACTCAGGATCCTCCTGCCTCAGCTTCCAGAGCCACTGGGATTACAGGTGTGCACCACCACGGCAGCCCAGCAGCCTTTGCAGTTTCAATTTCACTGAATGGAAATACCCTTAGGGCATTCAGTGTACAAAGGGAAAGTAGATGAGGAAAGTTTTGGTTATACATGGATGAAATTTCATAACTTACAGATGTTGACTCCTCCTCTCCCAAATGTATTATGCTTTTTTGAGATGGACATAAGCAAGAGACTGGGAAACATGACAAGATATGGGGAAGAAAATAACACACCAATTGCCCCACACCCCAGTTTGTATGCTACATAAAGGTTGGGACTGTGTCTTTTTACCCCTGCCCCTGTCTTTCCCCTGTGTCTAGTAGAGTGCTACACTTGAGAAGTGTTTATTGAACCAGTGGATGAATTCTCCATCTCTGGAGTGGCTATGAATTGGCCACCCTTGGCATGGATGTGATTTCAGGGTGTCAATCCACTGAGGAATGGCTGGACCTAAGTACCTTTAAAGCCACTCCTAGAATCTGGCAGGCACAGTAATTTTTGAGAAGCTTTGAGGTAGAACACAGATAGTGTTTGAATATTAATAGTCACACTTTCATCTTGATATTTATTGAAAAATGTAATTAGAACCTGAAACCTGAAATTTCACAGATATTATTGGTAAGGATAAGACTAAATCATTTTTAAATGATTTGATTTGCACATACATGTTAATAAAAGCTCTGGTCTGTGTAGAACTAAAAAATATTGCACAGTCGTTCTGCAATGACTAAAGAGGGGATCCAGGAATTTGCTCCCAGTCCTTAGGGCTGCGGATGGATGGTGAAAACATGCAGGTTTTCTTAATCTTGGCACTGTTGGCTTTTAGGCCCCATCTTCCTTTGTTGTGATCTATGTATTGTAGGCTACTGAGCAGCATCTTTGGCCTTTGCCCACTAGGTGTCAGGAGCAAAGGAGCATATCCCCCCCACCCCCAACAGTGATAACCAAAAAGTCTCCAGACCTTGCCAAATGCCCTGTGGTTAGAACTGGGATCATGGTAGTGGTGCAAAATCAGCCTTGGTTAAAAACCACTGGCTTACCAGCTGGCACTTATCACATACAAGCAGTCTTTAAGTCAGTAGTAAGTAAAATGCATCCTTGCCGAATTCCTCCAGGTCCTAGGAGAGAGCCAGGAAAGCAATAATGCTAGTTGAGTTTGAGGTCAGATGAGTTCATGACTTGACATATACATATTTATAACTGCTTTCACAAAATACTCAAGGTAAATTTACCCTTTACTAGACCACTGATTTCTTTTTTTCATTTCTTTAGAGAAAAATGGCTAGGAAAAAGAGATTTTAAGAAATCTAGCTCCTGAAAACCAGGAGGGAAAAATCTGTTGAGTTCATGTAACAGAAACTAATATCCTTTGGTTATTAATGCAGAGTGCAAAGAAGGAAAAACCTCTTAAAAGACTAAGTTGTTGATATTTTCCAACCACTGCTCTGCAGAAGGACAGAAGCCACAAGCGTCCAGTGTTTTCTGTGACGTGGCGGCTTCTGCATCTTGCCCGGTGATGCTGGAGAGGATGCTGCAGATTCTGCTACCTTTGAGTGACCCTTTCCCTCTCACTAGACCTTTGTCAACACAAAAAGGTGTCTCTCTTGAGGCTGGTTCAGTAAGCCAAATTTTAAGTAAACAGAAATGGAAGGTGCTAAGCAAACAAACTCCAGCCAAACGGAATACCCAAGGTCTGGATGGCCAGCTGCCATGGTGGGGTTGTTTTCCAGCATAGAACCTTCTAGTTAGGCTCCAGCATTTCAGATTGGAAAAACCAAACCTAAGAAAACAAAAATCAAAACCCCAGGCTTCATTTCCTAGTCGCACAACAAATCTGACCAAGAGGTCAGCACAGGTGTAAAGAATTAAGGGAAAATTAGAAACCACCCAAACTGACATTTTATATAGGGAGAAACTGAGTTTCAGAGAGATGAGGAGACTTCCCAGATATCACCCAACCAGTAAGGAGCAGAAGGAGGAATCCAGCAAGACTTCTGTGAACCTAACCCACTGCTTTTCGATCTTTCATTCTAAAAAGACCTTAAACTAAAGGAATTCACATCCTTCTTTGTGATACAGAGTGGCTAAAAATCACCACTGATGTGGTGCTCAGTAGACCATTTGAGTTCAGTAGAGGATATGGAAATCATCTGCACTTCCATGGGTGCATGGAAGTAATTGCTTTTCCTTTTTAGTGCAAAGACACATGGTCTAAGTTGCTGCTGAAATTTTAGACACACAAGCCCAGGTCTGGGACTTGGCAAGAGAATAGGCCAGATGGGAACTGTTGCTTGACAAATTGAAAGCCCTTTGTTGCAGAGTGAACCAAACCTGGTCTCCGCTAATCTAAAAACAAGAGGGGGTGGTGGGTACATCGTAGGGCCCTTTTTTTTTATTTTTTTTTTGGGCAAAAACTCCTGCCCAAAAAAAAAAAAACATTCTGGATTTATCACATATCAAAATGACATTCCCCAAACAAAGAAACTGTAACTGTAGCTTTTAGGGACTCCTTGGATTACTTGTTTAAAGAATGTTATCATAGTATTGAAAAACTTATGGATTTAAAAATAGATCAGTCCAACTGGATTTTTCCTCCTACAGTCTCTATTTAAATGGCTTACTGCTTTATAGTAGCAAACTCAAATTAGTTTATAATTTTTTTTAAAAAAATGAAGATTGATTACCACAAAAGAGTCAATACTTACTATTTATACTTTGCTTTTGCAAAGTATGTTTCTACTGAGACCTAGAACTCTTATTATAACCTATATAGGGGAATTTTACAACAGGTGATTTTCCTTGATTCATAAAGTAAGGTAATTCAGAGTAAGAAAATGCCTCCAGAAGTCCTGGCTTTTATTTCCCTATTGGACTTGGAGGCCACATTTGATTTCTTTCATGCACTTTGAAACATTTGCTATCTGGTTGTTCCCTTCCAAAATGAATTCAAGGTGAATCTACTTATGTTACCTTGAAAGGATTTTTCTTAAAATATGGTCTAGTAATTCTGCATTTCCTACATCAATCGGTCTTTCAATATGGAATCTTTAAAATAATTCTGCAAGTACAGAGTACACAACCCATTCTCCTTTTCTAGGACAGTGATTCTTGACCTTTCTAAAGCCAAAGTGCCCTTCTGGAAACTGCTGAAGGTGCCATAGTCTCTCACAATGTGGACACACGTATGGACATATTGCTTTAGAATCTGCCCTGATGAGGCCAGGGAGCACAAGAGATGCTGAAGCTGGATTCCTTATGAAATCCAAGACCTGAAAGATTAATAAATATATTTGAGAATATTAATGGTAGTCAATGAATGAATACAAATCAAGATTGGGTTCTTCATTAGAGAATCAGGTAATTCAGTTTTTCAATAGAAAGCAACACAAAAACACTCATGGAATAAGAAGCTCTCTTTCTGGGAGGAACTTAGAGAACTAGTACAATTGTCTTGTTTTGTACCTGGTTGATGAAGCCATTTAGGAACTAAACAGCCATGATTCATTCATTCTGTCTCTCCCTCTCTCTCTCAGTAGTGGGGATTGAATACTGGGACTAACCCTTTATGCCCACCCACCAGCTGAGTGTTCCTTTCTCTGATAGATCTGCACCATGAATTTCTGTGCCTTTTAGGTCTTTACTTAATCTTTACAGTATCACAGTTATGTGTGTATATGATCTGAACAAGAGGCTGACTCTTCTTCTTTACTGAAGATATTAGTTATTTATTTTTCAATCATAACATGACTACAATGACTAGCGCATTACACTAGAAATATGTCCATACTCACATATAATCTTCAAGTGATGGTCAGTTTTTACTACACTCTCTGTGTTTTTACATTTTTATAGACCTTTGAAATTCTCAGGGCCTTGGTTTCTATTCTTAGAACATATTGGTTTGTCGGTAAAGTGTTTTGCTATTCAGAGGAAACAGATCAGGAGTGTATGTGTATGAATTGTAATTTGCTGCTGTTCTATAGTAAAACAGTTTTATAGAAGCAAAAGGTTCATTGTGAAATGGTTTGGTGTGTGTAGAAACCCAGAGAAAGGGATTCATATTGTTTTCTTTAAAGAAGCAATGAACTCTTCATGCCTTGGAGAGCAAGTACTACCTTCAAAGGGTCTAACTGCCTGGAACAGGGTGGCAGAAGAAAAGGAGCCTAAACTCACCCTCTGCAAGATGGCCACCAAGCAGGATTAGTTTTTCTTCATGAAGTTCAGTTTTCGTTTCATATTGGCTTGTTTATCGTTTTCTAAATCACAGTAGAAAAGTGTGAATGCACTAAATTTGGAACTCAATTCCATTCTCAAACAATTGTCCATATTATCTGAAGCTGAGAACCTCTACTCAGAGGGCAGATGTCCAGGAATGGTGATTTCAGAAAAATGTTATTCCTGTGGTCAAAATGCAAATAACATGACATTTCATCCTGAAGCATACACACACACACACACACACACACACACACACACAATCTGCGTTTCCTTGTCAGTTTTGTGGGTTTTTTGGTTTTGTTTTGTGGGTTTTTTGGTTTTGTTTTATTTTTAACCAGAGATTTATTTTATATGATGGTCTAACAATGACTTTCTTTTATCGTGTTATTTTACGCAGAAGGAGAACTGGGAAAAAACAAGAATTTTGGCATAATTTTGGAGAGGAAAGAGTTATCGTTTAAGGCTAACATAAATTATCCTATAAATGAAGGGGTTGACAAGGGTCAGTTTGGGTTGTGACAGGACCCCTTATCAATCCTACTCATTGGGAAGTGGGACGTACTGTTTACCTTCATGAATGTTCTCAGGTTTAAGAGCAATTTTCCTGTGCAATTTAGTGACTTATTCATCATTAAGGTTAATTTCTCAAACAGGCATTTTTATTTTGTAGTTCAAAGGAGAAAGGGAAATGCTTTTGTAGATGAGATTTTTATTACCTTGTTATTAATGTTACTCAGTGTGCAGTTACTTATAATGTTGTACTCAGTGTTTTAAATAACTTTGGAAATGGGAGATGTTATTTGAAACAAGTTTTAGTTATTTTAAAGTAACATTTAGAATCCCATCCTTACTTCTCTATGTGAAAAATACACGCCTGAAAAGCCAAGTTCATACGGCAAGTGTAGATACAACTTAATGACAGCAACATTCAATACCCTTTTCTGTGCATGCTTTTAAAAATTTTCCTACATGTGAAATATAATGCCTGCCAGCCACAAATCAGCCTTGGCCAGAGAGGGTATTATTTATCACAATTTTAAAACAGCTTATTTTAGATAGTGTGATGTTTATAGTTTACTTTTATCAAGAGGAAGCACCTTCCAGCCAACCATCTATTCCACATTCATAGACAATGGGTGCCCAGCACACTGTTTTACAAAGCTATGAACAAGTCTTTGTGGATTACTACATAAAAGTAAAAATTTAAGGCACTTATCTGAGTAAATAAGAAAACTCCTACAATCTTGATATTGTAGAAGAAAGGAATTTATAGACTGAAATTAGCCAAAATAGTTAACAGACTGATCAGATTAATCCAATCACAGCCCCAAATGTTATTACTTCTTGTCTCCCTGGGCTGACATTTTCCTGACAGCAGATAGCCAACACTGTACCATGTGCTTCAGTGCTCCCTTCAAAGTGGGCCACAGGCTGGGTTGCTCAGTCACAACCCAAATGGAACTTCTTGTATGTGCTTCTCCTTGTCCTTGTATGGAATGTAACCCTGAAATTGTGAAGGTTATAATGACTAAATTTATTGAATATTTAGCATGCACTATGCATTGTTCCAAGTGTTTTACATCTGCTACCTCCCTTAACCCTCACAATAACTCATATGATATTGTGGTGTTTCTATCTCTGTCTTACAAATGAAGTTGGCAGATCTGGGATGGGTGTTATCTTTCTAGAATCAGACAGAAAGTGTGCAGTGGGGTTTCTCACCTGCATCACCTGGCTGGAGAGCACACCTAAAATGTGCGAAACCCTTCCATGTCTGGCCTTTGACTAGAGTTCAGCTCTTGATTTAAAGTCTAACTAAGTCCTTAGTAAATTGAAGGCGAGCTTCAAACCTTCAGATGGACCCCTTTTAAATAAAATGGTCTTATTGTTACTCAGACATAATAGAAAAGGTTGCTAGTTTCATTGTTGAGACGGCATAGGGCTTTGGGTTATACTCTCTGGTCTTCTCAACATGAGTTTAATCTGTCTCTTTCCAGAATGAAGTGTCTATGCTGAAAAATGAGGTGGCCCAGCTGAAACAGTTATTGTTAACACATAAAGACTGCCCAATAACAGCCATGCAGAAAGAATCACAAGGATATTTAAGTAAGTCCCAGACTCTTGCTTTTTTTGGTATCCAGTGTTTTGCCACAAATTTTGTATTGAATTTTACTGAAAGAGCAAAGGAAAGGGTAGTGGTACTCCCAGGCATACATACTGGAATCCGTGAATGCCTATTCTGCTAGGAGGATCCCTCTTTACTGACCCCATCCAACATCATACACACCACCTCCTGGTGATTTGGGCTATGCTTTCCCTGGCATTCTATATTGCAAAATACTATCAAATTCCTGTTTTGTAGCTGGTAAGAAAATAGCCTGCTAGAAGCCATTCACCAGTGAGTGGCTTGTCTACTTGAGAAATCTGTAAACTGGGAAAAAGGCATTTGGTGAACTGCTTCCAGTGCCTTAGCATACACTGCATGGGACCCACTGAGCTGAAAAGCTAGTGACCCATTTTCAGTTTACCATTAGATAAACTGATCTTGATCCCAGTTTCTGCACCCGGAAGTCAGTAGGTTGAATGCTAGTTGAATAGGGTTTGGGGGAAGGACTAGTGATCTGTGGCTGAAGATCAATTTATTTTCAAATAATTTTTTAGATTGAGCAACACAGATTCTCCCTCCACATGTGAGTATTTTTCCACATTTGATATATGGCTGTTTATCTGAGAATCCAAGATGGGGAAGTTCACACATCAAGACTCAAACACATGAAATCATTTTGCCGAAACAGGAAGCATGGCTTGGCTTGTAATGATAAACCCGGGAGGTATAGCTTTGTGACCCCAGTTTAAAATGAAAATTTGAATTCAACTTCCAGAAGACAATGTGTGCAACCCTTCCATGTCAAGTCAATGTCTGGTCCTGTTTTTATTCTGAGGAGTTTGCAAGTCCACACAAGAAAAAGCTATATTGGTGTGTGCATATGTGTTTTTTCCTAGGTCCGGAGAGTAGTCCTCCCGCAAGTCCTGTCCCAGCTTGCTCACAGCAGCAGGTCATCCAGCATAACACCATCACTACTTCCTCATCAGTCAGTGAGGTGGTGGGAAGCTCCACCCTCAGTCAGCTCACTACTCACCGAACAGACCTGAATCCAATCCTTTAAAATGCACGGGTCAGACCTTGCCTCCAAGAAGAGCTGTAGCATACCATGCACCCTTTCTCCTAAGGGCATTTTTAGAATTAACTCAGAGCTGGAAGACTCCTCAGCCCTTCAAAGACTGGCTTTCATTTTTATAGTTACTATGGAAATGTTGTCTTTTATACTTAGTTATATAAGAAAAAAAAAGGGAGTTATGCAATTAATATCTGTCAGCTTGGGAAACGCTTTGGTGCTTTTCTCCAATTTTCTGGTACCAGTTACTTGTTTATAAACGGAACCTCTTCTGTATATAGCCATAGTTTCCTTCTTATCAGTCCAGCCCTTTGTCTGAAACAATGACTCTTGTTAAAACACAGCTTTTAGCCAAAATGAGGCATACCTAGATGTCAAGTGAGACTGATCAAGGTAACTGGGTAGGAAATCTGATGACGTCATAACTCATGTTGAGCTTGCGCTGTGACATCACCAGAATCCCAGATTAAACACACAGCCTTTCCGCAACTGTTTCTGTCTTACCAGAAAACAAATTAGAAGATCCACCCACGTCCTAATAAAACCACCAAGCACCTCCCCTCCTCTCCTCTTCTCTTGGTCCACTTGCTCAAATGCCCAATTTCCCTCTCTATTTACACTTTATCTTGGCTCCCTGTTTACTCTTCATTTTAACCTTCTTCTGTTTTATGTTTTTCCCCTTTAGCATTACATGTGAAGAAAAAAATAATGTTTAAAGAAAAGAAAAAGCAAACCTCAAAAATATGGACTTAGCCATTGCTTAATTTGCCTGTAACCCACAGCTGGAGTTCATTCAATTCTCGCTTTTTACAAAATAGTAACCAGGAGATGTTTAATGTGCCTGATTTAAGGTTTTTAATAATCAGAGTAAATAAAGGTGGTTTAGTTATAGGTGAAGCACTGTTGAATGCCAGCTGTGGAGACAGTAGGAGAGGGAGATTTGTAAGCCCCAATTGTGAAAGTCCAAATTATGTTGCGGGGCTATAACATCACACCCTAGAATTACAACTGGTTTTATACAACCTGTCTATAATGTTGAAAATCCATGCACTATATAATAATTCAGAAGGGCTCTATTCACTACACAGATTACATTGTTCAATCATCAGCTGCTAATAGCCTAAGATTTATTATTATTTTTTTTTCTTAAGCCTATAGAACTAGCTCTGCTGTTCTGGTGGGTGAAAGCAGACTCACTCCTGTAGAAAGCAAGTCCAGTGTTTCCCTGGGGTGCTCTCAGCTCCCAGAACAGTCACAGCGCTCCGTGGCTGCTGACGGAATCCCATGGATATAAGTGGCACAGGCTGCTCACTCCACCCTTCTGAATAATTCTGATTTATATGTTCAACAGCTTACGTGAACTTGCCCATTATAAAAATAAAAAAAATAAAAAAAAAAACAGATAGGACCCAAACCACAGTCGTGCCTCCTTGGAACAAGCCATTCTACTGTGCTCATGTTTTAATATTGCATTTCACAAATAATAGGGGCTAGTGTTTCTCTCTAGCAGTCTAGGCAGGTGCTGGTGTTTCATCTCCATTTGAATGCTTGACCTCCGTGTGTGTGTGTGTGTGTGTGTGTGTGTGTGTGTTTCTGTATGGGTTTTAAAACAACAGTATTTTACAAAAAGTGTCACTTTTATAAGAATTCAGAAAAGGGAAGGATGTGGCTTTTTTTCTCTCACCATAGTTTAAGAATCTATTTTGGAGAAGAAAAAAAAAGGAGAAAATATGAGGACCATGAAGCATGATTTTTATAACTAGTTTCAGTTTTATCTAATAACTTACTTTTTAAATCAATATTTATCAACAATCTTTCCATGTATGCAGTGCTTTTGAAAGATGGTTTTGAGGGTTCAGTACAACTTAGGACTTGGATATATGGTCTAAGAATCAGAACAAATACAAAAAAAAAAGAAAAAAAATGAAAAAAGAAAAGCATAAAAATAAACGAAAAGGATTTTCTATTATATTTTGGAGAAACATATCATTTTCAAGTATTTTAAATACTGAATTCATAGTTATGTTTTTTTCCAACAGTAACAATGGTTTAACCTGACTGGCTTCTTAAGAAATGTTTAAGATTTAGTTTTAAAAAGAAGTTAGCATTTGTATTGCTGTTTTGAAATAAAAAAAATTTTTTTTTTTAGAATTCCTTCCTAATACTATCTATATGTCCTCCTCCCCCCAGCACACAGGAAAAAGGAAAAGAAGGAACTGGAATGATTGGGGTTTTGGGGGTATTTTTTAAAATTTTTCATTTTGTTTTGCTTTAAGTAAACAAAAACTTTGCTTTCTTTTCTGATGCATAGCACTTAATGAAATGGATTTTTAAAAAATCCATTAGTAATATCAAAATGCCCAGGGAGTGACCTGTCACTAAAATTATGATTTAGTTACTTCTCTTGATTGAAATATTTAGTTGTTAAACTGAAAGCCTTTGCAGTTAAGAACTTGCCTGAGTTTGCTTAATTCAGCAACTCGACAGTTTGACTGATGTGCATTATTTATAGCTCAATTATGTCTGTTTTTTATGCTAAGTAGGCAAACCAACCACACACGTTAGCAAACCCGCCTCAACGTATAATTAGAGTAAACTGCCTTCTTGTTAGATGCAGGGCCTTTAGGTATGTTCATTCACAGTATGGAAATACAGTAAATGGGAAATGCCAGCTAGCTGCCAGTGCTTGAGATCCCAAACAGAAAGATTCACTGGTCACATCCAGCATTTGGCATACCAATAGTCAGGACTTCACCTAAAGGCCGAGCCTTCACCAGATCACAAATCTTGCCAATCTATGAAAACATTTTTTTAAGCCAGTTCTCTCTCCAGCCATGTATACATATTTACAAGTCAGTGAAAATGGCCTTCAGAGCGCCATCCTGGGGAGGAAAGGTCCCTGTAGCGCTGCCTCTCATTTGTGTGTGGCTTTCTTCATTGGCTGGATCTGCCTCGGAAGCCATTGCCAGCTTACTGGAAACTTCTACAGTGCCTCCCCTGCCTAATGTGCTGGGGCTAACAACTTAGTACACCTGAAAGCATTTCTACTTGATGAATCCTCACCTAAGTGGAGGTTTCTGCATCTGAATTATTTGTTCTTGACACATTTCTCCATCTAAGATGGCTGGGACAGGGATAGAAGTCCCAGCCATGGATGAATGTACTAATTTCAAAGCCAGGTGTCAAGTCTGATGTTTTCCCTTTGCACTCATACCCTCCCATCATGGTGCATGCAGGTCACCTCACTGTCTCAGCACACCCTGAGGGAGACAAGAGGCTTGTGTGCCGTCAAGTCATATGTTATAATAAGTAGGGTGACTTAGAGCAAATGCCCTTTGGTAGCTCATCTAGTCAATGAAATAAAGTGCAGTGCATGTTCCCAGAGAGAGGTGTCAACAGACAATATTCAGGTAGTTGTTGCCTGTTAGTTAAGCAAATTTTAGTAGATTAGTTGAGTTTGTCATTAAAGCCCTAAACCAGCTACAGTAAAAGACCAGCCTTTGGTCTTTTAAGCATCAGTAACTGCTATAAAACTAGCCATCCAGTTAGGATAGAATGTGCTTCTTTCTGATTAATTAAAACCATCTAAGAAAGTGTATATGTATGTATGTGTGTATACAGTGGAATTCAAGGACCAAAGCAAAATTTGAACAGGAATCTATTAATTTAGAATTTTATAAGATATTTATTAATAAATGTTATTTTTAAACATTCCATTTGAACAGTATTCTTCTGTAGGATCTACTTGTTTTTAAAGTATTAGTCCATAATGAACTACCCTAGTTGTGTGGTTTTTTTTTTTTTCATTTTTCAGGGTTTCAAATGGCTGTTCACCATCATTTGGTGGAAATGTTTGCTTAGATCTCTGTGCATAGATATTTCGAGGATTTGTATTGCTCTGTGAGTTATTTTTAAATCTACATTCTGAACCATTTCTTTTTAACATTTATTTCTTCTTTTCATTTTTTAAAGTAAGCTCTTTAATTTAGGAAGCAGAGTTTCGCTAAAGGGAATCAGTAACTATAACTGGAACAGCTTTCTTGTAAAAGTGCAAAAACAGCTTCATCTCTGATTCTCTCCCCATCTCCCAGAAGGCCTTGCACTGCTCAGCCTCCTTAGAGTTTCCCGCCCCTTCCCAAACAAGATGCAGCAGCTTTAAGCCATTCAAGCCCCATTGTGCAGTGTATCTGAGAAGGGAAAGGAAACAACCCATTTACATTTGAATAAAACCGTGCCTATGCGAACAGGAGCAATTTAGAATCTCTTTTCTGCTTTTAAAATAATTTATATTTTAAAATTGCACTTTAGCTTTTTTGATTCCTTTCCATTTCTCTTGTTCTCTTTCTAACTTCTTCCCTATCTTTAAACTTGCCTTTGCCCCCCCCCCCCCTTAAGGATTCCTCAGCCTTTCTTCTAAGGCTCTGAGCTGCGTCATTTAAAATACTTTACAGAATATTTGCACCAGGTACATTTGTGCGCATTCGTGAGTAGCATAGCTAAGACGTGTTTCTCACACCAGCCTAGGTGAAGCCTGCTACAAGAATGCCAAGAAGAGCCAGTACACTATAGGTTTATAGTCTTTGTCCTTTATTCTTAGCATGTTTTTTTAAAAAATGTTATATTATGCAACAGATGTGAGAGGCAGCAGCTAAGCTACTTAAGAATTTTCTATCTCGTCCTCCAAACCAAAGTGTCCTGAATGAGCCAGGAGACTTATTCTTTTGTGCATCATGGTGCACGTTTGACTGTTGTCCTAGCCATAGTTCCTGGGGCTGCCGACATAGCAATGGCCCTATCGATTTCATTCCTAGGTCTCGAAAAAATACAGTGTTGCCTTGTTAACATGATTAGAGACAGCACCTCTATTTCACAATTATAGTCTAAGAAAGAATAAGAAAACTCCGGAGCAATAAACTTACAAGTAAGATCCAATACCAAAATAAACACACAAAGAAATTAAAAAAAAAAAAAACTATCTTGTCATTGTTGTGAAAATGAAAAAGTGTATGTCCATTCAAAATATTTTACTATTTCTTGTGGAGTTTTTCGGTGATGTAATGCTTGTAGCCAAATTGCTTAAAGAATGTTTATATATTTTTTTCCTTATAAATCGTCTATTTTTTGAAGAAAAGAAAAACCTATTTAAGTGCAAGCTGTAGAGGGGGGAAAAGCCAAATTGCCAGCATTTGTTAAAAGATTAATATTCTGAAAGTGGCACTGTGATACCTTTCCAAGCTTATTATCAGAAAGGAATCAATAATTATCAACTGCTATATTTAAACCAACTTACAATATCTAGCTCATTAGACATCAGGATCTAGAAAGCTCTTCCTAAGCTACTTAAGGTTTTCTTACACTAAGCTTTATATGATAGAACTTTATAGAATTTTTTAAAAAATAATATAAGTTGGCCTCAGGACTGAGAATGTGGGACCTGAATAAATTAGCTTTAAATACATCATTAAAATCTTCCGCACAACAAGCTTATTAGATTCTAGTTGGCTCCTTTGGAATGCCAGTGCTCCTACACGGCAGGACACACTGGAAGGTATCAGCAGTGCCCAAGTACAGTGGGCTTACGAGAAAGGACCCTTCCCAACCAGACAGCCAGTAGACAAGAAGACCTGCTCACCCCTCTCCTTCTAACCTCTGCTAACCCCATCCACCTCCCAGAGAGAGGAAGCTGCCTACCACCATTGTTTTGGAAAAAATATAAGCTTG